TAATTCGTTAGCCTTTTTCTCGCAATATTTGAGAAAAATGTTTGTAATTTGTATAATTAAGTGTATAACACGAAGATATACATTTTTGCATGTGTATATACAATTTTCTCTCGCTTTATACAAAACAAAAACAAAATTATACACTTCTGTGTATAAAGCGAGAGAGGCGAGCGAGAATGGAGAGTGGCGAGCGAGATTTTTGGGAGAGAGACGCTGGCAAATTTTAGCTAATGTTTGCTATGGAGCACAATTAAATCAAACCCTAACTATTCCATTTAATTTAGGTTATTAGTTTGCTATTATAAAAATAGCCCAAAAAACGTTAAAATCTCACCTTTCGTATTTTCTTTTTACACTTTTCATTTTAAAAAGTAACTAAAGAGTGAAAAACAAAAATTTCTATTTTTTTTAAAGAAAAGAGTCCAACACGTATTATTTTTTATTTTCAACTTTTGATGATTTAAGTTTTTTTTACGTTTTTCTTATTGATTGCAATATTTTTAGATATATGGATAGATTTTTTATGGTGCTAACACGTGTACTTTTTTATTTAAATTTAAATTTATAAGTAAATAATTTGAATTACGAATTTTTTAAAAAAGCAGAATAAAATTCATATCAGTTCACAATTTTGAAATAAAACTGTAAAATTATTTATTATTTTAAAGTTTAATAAATTTCAATATTTTAAAATGTAATGTTTTCAAGAAAGTGGGTCCGCATTTTTTATTTTATTTTATCTAGAAATAACTAAACAATTCAATTTTTATTTTTGAATTTAGAGGCCTTATTCTGTAAAACTTTTCGGAAAAATAAATTTTCCATATTGACAAATCAAATTTGGATAAATCATCTAATAGTGTTAAACTTAGTATATTCATATTTCATTGTATTTATGTATTGTTGCATACATATATGTATACTAGAGAAAGAATCAAAATTTGTTTCAATCCAACTTTCTTACTTACCATGACTGTGAAGATCGGAAGAACCATAAAATTCAATGACCTCTAACATAATAATATTCATCATTTTTTTAAAAATTTGTGTTTTTTTTTTCATAAAAACAATTTAAATATACTCATAGTAATATTTATGTGACTCTCATAAGACTATAGTCATTAATTAATAAAGAATAGAAATATAATACTTTGAGATCAATAATTAGTGAAAGAGAAAATTAAAAAAAATTAAAAGTTAATTACAGAAAAAAAGCCGAGAAGCCTGTTCATACGAGAGCCATCCAAAAAATTTGATGTTGACAATGAGAATCAAACCCATATTGCGGATCTAGAAATTTGTTACTTCTGCCAACAACACCCATCGACACTTCATTCACAGAGTGTAAGCGTATATATAGATATATATATGAAATTTTAATCGAGATCGTTGGGTATCGTGACACCCCAACACATACATATAGATCCGCCCCTATAAATATGTACCTTAAATTGAATGACAATACAAATATATCAAAAAGTACGATAAAAGAAAAATATAACTATATTTTGTGAATATAAGGACATATATGATCCTTTCTATTTTTAAAATAGTCCAAAAAAATGTTAAAATCTCACCTTTCGTATTTTCTTTTTACACTTTTCATTTTAAAAAGCAACTGAAGAGTGAAAAACAAAAATTTCTATTTTTTTAAAAAAAGAGTCCAACACGTATTATTTTTTATTTTCAACTTTTGATGATTTAAGTTTTTTTTATGTTTTTCTTATTGATTGCAATATTTTTAGATATATGGATAGATTTTTTATGGTGCTAACACGTGAACTTTTTTGTTTAAATTTAAATTTATAAATTAAATAATTTGAATTATGAATTTTTTTTTTTAAAAAAAGAAGAAAATTCATATCAGTTCACAGTTTTGAGATAAAACTGTAAAATTATTTATTATTTTAAATTTTAATAAATTTCAATATTTTAAAATGTAGTGTTTTCAAGAAAGTGGGGTCCGCATTTTTTATTTTATTTATTTCAAGAAAGTAAGAAAGTTGTGTCATACAAATTGCATCAGCCTATTTTTTTAGTACTATTTTCAAAATATTTACGAATTGTAAAATCTATTTTAAAATTTTAATAGTGATTTATTATTTTAATTTTTAATAAATTTCAAAATGTCGTGTTTCAAGAAAGTGGGGTCATTATTAATTTGTTTTTGTTTGCAACTTTGCATCTATATCTAGTTTTTTTTCTTATAATTTTTGTTATAAAACTAAGCTTATAAGAATATAATCATAAAGAGAAGAAGACAAGAGAAGTGGATAGAAGAAGTGGAATATTCTTCTTATGCAAGTGTATGTAAGTCTCATCTGTATATCCTACAATGGTGAATGAACAATCCTATTTATAGAGTGAGAAATCACTCAAAAGTCACCATATTAAGTATCATAATAACTAGATACATTCTTATTCAAAAAAGTTCATGAACTTAGTGAATATGGATGGTTGTTCATGTACCTACCTTATGGATTATCCACTCATTCAATGGATTTATAACACTCCTCCTTGGATGTCCATAAATAATATGCCTCGTTAAAACCTTACTAGAAAAAACCCTATGTGAAAAAATTCTAGTGAAAGAAAAAGAATGCACATATCTTTTGATACGTACTATTTGTTGCCTCATTAAAAACCTTGCCAGGAAAACCCAGTGGGAAAAAACCTCGGTCAAGGGAAAAAGAGTGCAACGCGTATTATACTCCCCTGATTAAAACATCACTTAATTTCTTGTGATAATGTCTCCAATCTTCGTACATTATGGTTAGTATATTCTTTTTTAAAGAAAAACCACACGTTTCTTGAATATGGTGTGTCATTTATCTCAACCAGACGCACTTTCGACTTGTTTCATGGAGGACTTTTATTTCTGCATAGCAACATTTGCTTCATTGATCGCTAGGATATTATTGTGCCTCCACATGCAAACACATAGCGTGCTTGAGATAGAGCTTTATGCGGATCAGATAAATATTCTGCATCTGCGTAACCAATTAATTTGTCTTGAATTCCTCGGAATAGAATAAACCCAAAACTATGGTCCTTCGAGGATATTCAATCATGTGCTCAACACCATTTCAATGTTCTTTTATCGGGGAGAAACTGAATCTTGTCAGTAAATTTACTGCAAAATAAATATCTAGTCAAATATTGTTAGTAAAATGCACTAGTGCCCTGATTGCACCAAGATAGAGTTTCATCACCAAGAAACTCATCATCCTTCTTTTGAGATCAAACTGAATCATCATTTATGTCAAGTGATCTCATAATCATTGGGGTACTCAATGAATGCGATTTATCCATGTAAAAAAATTGCATCAAAACTTTTCAGTGTATGTGCACTGTTAGACAAATATTTCATTTATCAAATTATCAATCTGTAGGTCAAGACAAAATTTTGTCTTACCAAAACCTTTTCATAAAAATACAAGGACAATTAGGGTCATTCTTTTATACCTTTCTTTCTTGACTATTTCAATCCATATAAGGATTCTTGAAGTTTTATTGAAAAATTTTCTTTCAAACTCTTATATGCTTCAGACACCTCGATTGTTTCAAGGATTTTCATATAACCTTCATTGT